GAAATACAGGTATCAGGAGCTTTAGCCACTAAACGACTATGTTAACATGCTAGTTGATAATTTATCTGTCAACCAAAGCTGGAAAAGCTTTCCTTTCTTATCAGTAGCTTCTCTTTGTCCTAGATCATAATCAATTAAACATCTCTGAGTTTTGGATTGCTGATTGGTCAAAACAAGAATTATGAAGAGGTTGCACTGGGCTCTGAAAAATTTAAAGTGTTATCAGTGAATCGAAAAAAATAATTGGTAGATTCACCAGCATTAGTTGCAGTCCCAAACCTATCTGATCCCCCTCATGCTTTTTAACCTGCTGCTGTAGCAATATTATGTTTTCAGATCTCAGTAAATGCAAAAGCTGCATCTCATAGAAATGATGCTTATAAAAACACCCAAACTTAATAAACCCGAATTTTCCTTTAAACAGAGCAGTAAGCTGTGAATTAGAGGAGCACAAAAAAAAAACAAACAAACAAACATACATTTAGGGCCTGTGATGGAAGAGCCAACGTTGAGCGCTCGGGAAGAGGAAGAGGAGGAGGAGGAAGAGGAAGAGCAGGCTCTGGCTGGAAAGGAGGATTTGGTTCTGCGTGTGGATGGGACAACTAGCCGTGAACGTTTGATGGGGATCACAGCTCGGGCTGGGGGCACGACACGGCCGTGATATTCAAAGAGTCTGAAAAATAAAGTTGCGGCAATCCATCTTAGCAATAATAAAAATGTTACAAAGGTATTAAAATGCTAAAAGCACATTTTAAAAGGCAGAAGCGGTGATTCTTGTTACGAGCTGGTGTCATACAGGCACTAAAAAGTAAAGCATGTCATCAAGATGGCATTTTTTTCAGTAGTCATTTGGGTGGTCCCTAGAAGTTTTTCACACAACAAAAAACATTTACAAAACACCCAATAAACATGCAACTGCAGAAGATGTCTGAATTCTGGTGGTACATACTGAACAATGCCAAATCCATTCAATACTGTTCCCTGTTGCGTACATATCAAATAGCCAAAATAGCAATAATGACTCAAAGCTGAAGCACTCAACACTCAGGGATACTGCAAAGTAGAGGAAGTAAACAAGCCAATGAAAATGTCATAATGAAGATACATTTTCTGTCTTGCTAGCGCAAATGACCAGCCAGGGGACTATCTGACATTCAGTACTCGCCTATGTGGATAAAAGCATCATTAGTAAGCCCAACGGAGAGGAATGAAAACCTCCCCAGTATGACATTCATTATGCTTATGATAATGTAGTTACTCAGATGAAAATGGGCTATTCTGCTCAAAATTCATCTTTATAAAAAACTGACTTGATAAAGGGGAGAAAGGAGAGATTATACCGAGAGGCAAAATATTAGAAAAAAGGGAGTAGAATGATTTGAAAAGAACAAATTAATGCACACCCTGTCTGTGCAGTTATTTACGAGTGAAACCAGATGTTTTCTTTTTTTTACATACCTGCTGTAAAAATCATCTCTGTAGTAGTCATAGTCAAATTCGTAGCCACTGTAAACACAAAAGAGAAATAAACATTTTTTATTTGTATCTGTAGCAAGAAAATAAGCAATCCTTCTTTATGTTAACAGGTCAAACAGCTAGCCCGACCCTGTTATTTCATTGTTCTGGTTCTGTAAAACCACAACACATCATTTTTATATTTTGGTTTTTGCACGAATTTAATCAGATAGACACGTTAACTACTGAGCTTTATAGATGCTGGAAGGCAGATTTTGAAACTGCCAGGCCAGTGGTTTCTCCTGTTTCCAGTCAGCTAAGCTGTAGCTTCAGGTTTATCATGAGACACATGAAACATGAGCTGTATTAATCTAACACTTTGTCTGAAAGCAAATAGGTGTATTTCCCCAAATGTTGAACCTAAAATATAAGGCTACAGCCAGAATCTAGTTAGCTTATCTTAGCACAGAGAGTAGAAATGATGGAAACGGCTAGCCTTGGTAGTCTAGCACATAACCAAGCTAAAAGTTCAATGTGTCATTTTTACACATTTTTGTATGAATTAGACAAACAAGATAATATAATTTATTAATAAGTGACAGTTAAAGGTGCTGGTAGGCAAATTTTGTTAGCTTTGGGCAGATCCAGTCAAATGTTTCCACCTGTTTACAGTGTTTATGCTAAGCTAAGCTAAATGGCTGCTGGTTTTAGCTTCATATTCAGCTCATAAACATGAGTGACACTGGCTGTCTCATGTAACTCAACAAGAAAGTGAATAAGCCTGTTTCCCAAAATGTCAAACTATTCCTTTAAGAGGTCAAATAAAGAGATATTTTGTAGTTTTTAGCTTGTTAAGATGTCAGTCATGTCAGGTTTAGTGCACTAGATTTTCTTTGCTTTCAACAAGATGACACATTGTCAAGAGTGAGTGAATGTGTAATAGCAGCAGACCCAAAGTGGCAGTGACAGCACAGGTAGGAAACTGGCACCCAGCCTGTCAGTGAAGATCATTAGCACATATTTTACAGACAGCGGTTTGTAACTGATCTGACTGATGGAGTAAAATGATACCCATGTTTCACACACACCTGTACAGGGACGAGAGTGGCCTCTTGGAGCCCATCTTAGGCCTGTATGGTTTTGGCTCTCCTGCCATGTTGATGTCTGGAAACAAAAACAAAAAAAATATGTGTCATAATGTGATCACAGTTTATAATATACAGCAAACAATCAGTAAATATATTAATATGACAGACTGAACTGTGGAAACACCACTATTATACCTTTAAGTACTTTATTGAAATACAGTGCTACAAACGTCTAAGCTCTTTAACTTTAAATTGTAACCATATTACGTAAAAAATTCCAATCATGCTACAGTACGACAACTTCAAGCTCAATGGCAGATATACTAATAAAAGTTTAGACAGGAATCACATGTTGTTTGAATGTAAGAAATGCAGACAGCAATTTATGGGAAAACATACCTACTGCTCGTTAAACAGCATATGTTTGCTATTTTATTACAGTTCAAAGTGCCTTCTTGAATGTTTTCTCTCTAAGTAAGTTGTGATGCTGCTGAGTGACATTGTTTTGATATTATTGCAGAGCTAACACTCTTTGATTCAAGCTTCTCACATCTCAGAATTTGCTGCTTTTCTTTGTTTTGTATGATAATCAAAGTAACATCGTTTGGTGTTGGACTGTTTGAGCAATTTGAATATGAACCCTTGGGGACTGGTAACTTTTTATTTTTACTAATTTCTGGAATTTTAATGACAAAATGATTCATTGATTCATAAAAGAACTGTTATATTAACTGATAATTATTAGCTGCATCTACACATTTTTGTATTGTATATATTGTTTGCAGTCCACCACCTGTAATGGTTTGAAATCATTAAAATCTGAGTTTGAGTTTAATTACAATTTAAAAACAGCCTTGAATGTAGCCTAACCATGCTGCATTTTTCAAAGGATTACATAAACCCAAGAAGAACTTGATAATCCTCCAGTTGATGGAAAACCTCAGACTTGCTTCACACTACGAAACCTCCAGTTTCCCAACTTTATGAAATGTGAGACACTGCTAATTAGAGGATTTTCTTTTTTTTCCAAGGGGAAAGACAGCAACATGAGATTAAAGATCATCACTGACAAATATGCTCAAGCGCTAATTCTCCTAAATCACTTCTCAGACAAACACATCAGACAGACTTTATTCTCGCTGTCTTCTAAATTTTACCTCTTGGGTAACTGCACAGAGATGACAGACTTTTTTCCATCTCAGACAAATGGATTTCACCTGAGAAACTGTTCCAGTAGCACATTACATAAGGCTAAGTCTTTATAGCAAAACCAAGCAGATTTAGAGTCGATGCTTTAAGAAGCTGCCCTAAAGCAATGCAATAAAATCATAATGGCAACTACTGTAATATACTTTAATGCACAAAAGCATAACATATAGTGTTTTTCTAGCAATATTCTTAATGTAGAATGTATACAGTCTAAAATCTTTATGCAGCATGGTCATTATCAAACCGTAGCACCGGACCATTTCTACTAAAACAGTTTGAAAAAAATAAATGCAATTATCCAAACAGCACTGAGCAAAATCAACCTTGCGCTATTGGAAGGGTTATAAATTATGCACAGTGACTATTCAATGTGATATCAGAACTTTTTGCGCCGTTATAAAAGGCATGAATACAGTGACATTCATCATGATGCACAAAAGACACCGAGTCTATAAAACACAAAATCATTATAAAAGTCTTCAGTGATTTATACTGTTGAGTCAGTGCAGCCTGTTCTGCCATGACTGGATCTCACTTTGTTATGCATGACTGTTTTATTAACAGAGCTGTAATGAATATAACGAAGTTCAATGTAATCACTGGAGATAGCCAAGTTCAACTATACTGCAACATATTCTGGTTAGATGCTAAACTGCATTTTGTTGCCTTGTACTTGTACATGGGTAATGACAATAAAGTTAAATCTAATCTAATTATACAGTACACTGTCACATAAATTGGGCAAATACTGTACCCTTTGTAATCAGGACAATTTTGTTATATGCACATTAAATAAATACATACACACACACAGAGAGATATATTATACACTTTTTTACAATTAGACACATGTATTTTGAATTATATGCTAGTCTATAGTCAAATTTCACATTTTGTAGACACACTGTAAACTGACTTAAAGAATGTTTACATTACAGTAGAAAATAATTGGGTTATTTGGCTTATTTGGTTAGTTGGGACCTTTATTGCTGAATAAATATAAGCAATAATGAAATCCCCTTCAAATGCATTGGAGGACTTCTGTGACTCATCCACATACACACCATGGCTGTTGTCATGATTGACAGCCCCTTCTACTTGCACAGAGCACTTGTGGTTACACTGGGAGGGCATCACTGTGTCTAGTCGGTCGACTTGTCGTCGCAGCTTGCACTCAGCTCAGTCAGCCCTGAGCGCTGTGCAAGGTCACACATAAAACCACAAATATCAAAGACGCCCTTCCTGCACACACACCTACACAGATGCTCACCAACAAAGCAGGAGAAATCCCTGTCTGATGAATGGAATCACCCTTGACAGCTTCAAAAAGTTGTACAGATAAAGCATCTGCTTTGCATCTACTGCCTTGGGGACCATGCAGTAGCTTATGTCATGACAGGAGCTGAAGTCAAGTTGTTTCACTGTCCTTTTTTTTGGTACAGATAATAAAATCCAGAGCTGCAATGTAATGAGTCTGTGAATTAAAGAATGTAAGATGCCTTAAACTACTGACTACAGCATCTGTTTTTCTTTGTTTTCACATTGTCTCACAAAAACTCCAGCAGCTGCACCCGTGTCTGCATCTTCCGACATTATCTGCTGATTAAAAAGCGCCACTATGTTTGAAGCCCAGACTTTCTGTGGCTCTCTGTTTTTATTCCCCTTCCCCTCCTCCCTGTCTCTAATAGGGTGAGTATGTATCGCTAGCTCTCAGGTGCACGGGGACAGCTCTATCATTATCATTAGGCTTTAGGAAGATGTGAGGAATTGTTCACATTGTATAGCGCGCTCTCCTCCGAGCCCCAGCTCGGATCATTAAAGAGAGAGCAGAGCATTAAAAGCACTCTAAAATAAACACTGCACCCTCACAACGTCTCCAACCCTCCACACTCCTGACAGACACACACAGATTGATTACAGTCATTATACTAATCATATACAAAACAAATGGCACACATGTGTATGTGTGTGCACGCACACTTGTATGTGTTTGTACTCATAAAAAAAAGGTTTTGGCTGGAGACAGAGACTTTGTTGCTAAGCAATAGTCACTTAGGGCTTGATTGATACTGTAAACTGTATGCAGCACTGCATTGAGGGGAATATAAAAAGTTACTTTATGCTGAACACGTTATAAACAAGTTGGCTGCAGCAGAGTAACATCAGGATAAATTCACAGACTACATAAAAAGCCAGACACACATACCATAAAACGACTTGCCATCCTCGTAATTCCAGAGAGGTTATTCTTGCTCAGTGCTGATTAAAATGTTAGCTGCACATAAATGTGTCGCTATGAGACAATGTTGTCAAGGTGTCCTTGAGAAAAGTACACAACACCTAACAACACACTGCCACTAAAAAGTAAAAGTTATTTGCACAGCTCCACAGAGTGACCAGTCTCTGGCTGGCACATAAAGATATATTATATTGTTAACAAATAAACACTGTCCAAATTACAAACAAGTAAGTAGAAATTAAAGTCCTTAATATTTCGGTTGATTTGACAACGTCTCTGCTTTGCAGCAAACAGCAAGTGTTTTAATACCACAGGTGTGAGAGTTGTGTTCAAAAAGACATGATTGTTGGGCACCAGAGGGAGGAACCACACCTCAAGGCCTGCTTAGTCACAAAGGCAGTAGGAGAACAGCAACTTGTGAATCTGTTAACAGTTACCAAGGTGTGAGAGGAGCCAACACAACAGTGATTAATAAAGAATACACAATATCACCACTGACAATTTTTAACAACATTTTTGTAGCATCAACAGCCCCTTATGTGTGTGTGTACACAATGTTAATCCTGCACTGGAGAGACTCCTGCAGTAACATGAAAACTACATATTATCATACTGGCCTGAATACAATATGACTTTTTCTGTTCATATTGAGTCTTTCAGTCAGTCAGCACTAAAAGTGTTTCACTAATCCAGTTTAAACCGCAGGAGTTTCTAAATGCTTGTGTAATGCGTTTGTCCGCCGACACTCTCATAATGACTTTACTGCAGAAACGAACCGGTGGAGAAAATCTATCAAACACCCAAGATCTACAGCTGTCACCGGCGATGAGAAAAATCCCATCAGAGCAAATGATTATGACCGTTCAAGAGCCTGACAGGAGAGAGGGTGAGTCTCTGACTGAGAAATGTTGGGCTTTTCTCATATTACTCTATATCATGTTTCACTTAAAGGATGTAAAAAGCTTCTGTGATGAGGACTCTCTTCTCCTTGGACTAAACCCTGTGACCCTATTCAGGAATATGCACTTTAGATAAGGGATGGATGGAAACAGATCTGCTCCTGCACAAGCTGAAGGTGCATGATCACTAATCCAAATGGTATTTATTATAAATACCATGCACAACACCCAATGAACACAGTGCAATCTTTCTGTTTTTTAAGTTTTGCATGTCCTGTGTGCATCACAGTGTGGTCAAAGTGCCCACTGACTAGCAATGATGATTTGACTCTTGACCACAGACCTGCCTTTTGCTGGGTCAGTGGCACAGTATTATTAACACACCCAAACTTTACCTGAACACACCCCATTTTCATCCGGACACACCTGCCGGCACGAAGCTGACAGACTGCTGCTTTGTAAAAAGGCAACGTGATGCACATGTCATGAAAATGACAATCATGCAGGTGGCAAATTTGGAAAGACAGATGTGCTACCTGCGCCACACGCCATGTGTTTGCTCCAAGATAGGGCGGTGGGGGGGAGGAGGGGGGGGGGGGGGTGGGTTGTCACGGTGTCCACCCTTATCAGTGTACAGAATGAAAGCATCAGTTAAATTAAGATCACATGTTAACTCCTCCAGCAAAGATGTGATGAGTTCACCAAGTTTTATCCATCCACAGCGGATCC